CCCTCAAGGATCAGTCTATTTCGTGGATATAGGCTATCTTTGTCGTTATTAGACCAATCTACTGCGTTTAGTGGCTGATTCCTTACCTAGTCGACAGGCTTTCTACCCTGACAAGTAGATCCTATCACAAAAACAAATATATTAGAAGTATTCAAATATTTTTGGATAATTGATTTATTTTTAAATTTAGAAATATTTATAAATTATAAGGAAATTACAGGTATTTTATATTACTAGCTATTATATAATATATATAGTTATTAAAATCTAAAAAAAAATATTTAGAAAAATTTTAATTATTATACTACATCTTAAAGATAAAGTCATATGATTATATAATAGTTGAGATATTAGAGATTAAAAAAACAGCTTTTATATAGCATTAGTTGATGGGCCACGCGATTGTACAGGCCGCGTGATTATGATTTGCATTATTCATCCTTATGATAATCATGAATAAAAAAATATTGTAAACTCTCAAGACCTAATACAAAATCAGGAATATATTACCAAGCAATATTATTCTATGATTACTAAAACTAAAAAATTACTAGAAACAACACTAGTGAACAAACACTTTGGACAGCTTTAATACTGAATCTTAGGATTTATAGATGATCTATAGTATTTAGTATTAGGAATTCAACAGTATTCGTATGGCTTTAAATAATTAGGATCCCAGCGCTTCCACCTGCGGGTTGCATAGAATTTCAAGAAATATGGCCAGGGGGAGTAAGTAAAACCATAAAGCTCATATTTTATCAGTCTTCAGGATATTCATCCCTGATATTACTGACAAATGTCCTCGTTTCCCAATCCCATCTTTTGAAATGCTTTCCCGCTACTGCCACGAGTGTTGAGGGCAATTCTGAGACCTCGGGACTCATTAGCTCAATATTCTCCTCGGCCACATAACGAACACTTTTATCCTCAACTCTTGGGAGCAGGAGTTAGCTTTACCCTATATATAAGATCGATACTTGTAAAGGAGCTTACAGCACATGATAGAAGCTCTGGTGCCTACCACCTTGCAAGCGATCTATTCCCATCCTTCTCATCCATTGCTCACCCGCGCCGCACTCCGTGTCCCAACCTGTTATGATGGCTCGGTAATCATACCGGCGATGTCTAAATACCTGCCCAACGCGATATTTTACTTCCCTCCGCTGAGAAGAGCGCCTCTTTACCTGTTTAGGTATTTCGTCCGCCGCTCGCATCACATGGAGACTTTCCAGAATATGCTCATACTCGGGCGTTCCATGAAGCAGAGGCGCCACGTACTGTTCAATCAAGTGGATGTCGGATGGGAACTCCGTAGCAAAAAGCTCCATTAGCCATAGCAGATTATGTCTGACATCAGTAGGCCGAGCAAGATCCGAAAGCAACAAAGAGGACCAAATTGCAGCATACTTCGCACAGACGACATCCACTGGTGTTAGGCGCATATCTGGAAACTGAGACATACGTTGGACCGAGTTCAGAATGTTTTTGCTGCACCGAAGGACGACTTCTGAAGGGTGGGATTCGGCCAAGAAGTTCGCTCGCTCGACCGCAGTGACACCTAAGAAGTTTAGTTGATACTCTAGATCCGTGATTGGCGTTTCCTTCTCTGAGCGGAACGGATCCATGTAAATTGGGCTGCCGCGTGTCCCGTCTTCAATTACATTATCGTCCATATCATAGCCGATGGGCGGCAGGATAATCACATGGACATGGAAAGGGAAGCCGCATGGCCGGGCGTTCAGGCCGAACCGTTCAGCAACGTAGCAATAAATAGTTGCCGAAATCAGAGGAAGTGAATTGTGCCGAGGGTCATTCAAAGCAATACCAAGAAAGTTGTGCTCCAAGCAATGGTACTCTTTTTCTTCACCAATTCCGGTGAGACTATTTGCCCTCAGGAACTTCGCAACTGCCCTGGCTTTATTACGAGACGTGAGCTGGTGGATGTCTGGACAGCTGATAGGAAGTAGCGAGGCAATCGAGTCCAGTCTATCGCTGATCTAAAATTGTATTAGATAGCAACGTCCCTTCAGGCCCTGGAGTCACTTACCTCTTCCACACTGCCAAAATCGCTCTCGGGTCTAAAAAGGTCGAATGCACCTAATGCCCTGTATAGAGACACCTCCTCGCCATTTCTCAGTTTAGCCCATTCTTGTACAGCGAGACCTCGATGAAGGCAAGTGAGGAGCGCCTCGGCATAATATCTTATTTCAAAGAAATATAGTTAAAACGAGATGCCGTCTCATGGATAGACAGAACAAACCTCCTTGCCAAGTAATCTTCTACACTGGATTGAATCTCAAGATTATGTAGAAGGGCATCTTTGGCATCATAACCAAGCCCTATAATTTTTCGAATCTTCTCGATTCTTCCCGTTTGATTTGCAAGGATGCTGTCCAGAAGACGACAGGTCTCGCGGTATCTTAAATGCTTTAGTATGTAAAGCGATTTCCAATCTACCGCAGGGATAGGGCTTGCAAGCTTTGCTGGTAACTCATGTTGCCGGGCCCAGTGCTTAAAACGGCTCAGACAATAATATCGCCATAAGAAAGGCTTTGCTGTTACCCCGCGAAATCGGCGAGCTGTCTGTTCTAATGCGGCAGCGGAACGGGGTGGGCAGTAGCAAAGAATATGATGTAGTAACTCTTCGGGGAAATAGTCCAGAGACGGAACCATTCCGGTACATGTGACACAGCAATAGACGACGACAATTGAGACGAAAGAAAGGCTGCCCTTAGACTATCACAAGTTTGTGCCGCTCATCTGTGTCCATCTGGGTGGGTGCAAATCGGAGCCAAGCGAGCTCGATCCTGAGCGGGGAGTTCTGCCGTACCAGTGCTCTGTGCCCCATCTTTTATAAACAATCTTGACACTCCTGCGCCAAATCCATTCTTCACCTCCTCACCACGGAAGAAGACTTTTTAGTCAGACTCATGGGGCAATTTCAGTCTTCGACAAGCGAAGAGAACGCCAGCTCTTCGGCTGGATCACCTGATAAGAAACTTGATTATTACGAACTTTTACAGGTGAATTGGGACGCATCTGCAGAGGAGTAAGCTTGCCTTGCCTGTCGGTTTTTCTAAATCTTGCGCATGAATTGTTATTTGTGAAGAGAGCACGCAGAATGGGGAAGGAGAATTGAAGGCGGGTTTCGAAGGAGAGACTTGGTGGGATGAGCAGCGAAGGTATCCTGAAGCCACTAACACCCCTTAATCCCTTTAGAATCAAAAAGGCGTACAGAAGAAAAGCCCTTGAGTTGCACCCGGACCGAAACTATGGAAATGTGGAATCTGCTACAAAGCTTTTCGCAGAGGTCCAGTCTGCTTACGAGGTGCTTTCAGACCCTCAGGAGCGTTCGTGGTACGATACTCATCGAGATGTCTTGCTAGGAAGCCAGGGTAGTTCTGGCAACTCTGGCAGTCCACATAGTTCGCGCACGACTACTGCAGACGATGTCTATAGGATCTTCTCTAGGTTCAGTCCACAGATGGAATTCTCAGACTCCTCGGATGGCTTCTACGGTGGTCTTCGTGAGGTTTTCTCACGACTTGCCGCGGAAGAAGAGATCGCTTGCCGTGGGGAGAATGTGGAAATCATTTCTTATCCGACGTTTGGGTGCCGGGGGGATGATTTCGAACGAGTTGTACGCCCATTCTACGTTGCATGGGGCGGCTTCTCAACAAAAAAGTCGTTTGCATGGAAAGATGTCTATCGTTACTCAGAAGCTCCCGATCGTCGTGTTCGTAGACTGATGGAGAAGGAAAATAAGCGCCTGAGGGAGGAAGGCATCCGTGAATTCAACGATGCTGTTCGATCACTCGTAGCTTTCGTCAAAAAGCGCGACCCGCGATACAAAACAAGCACCCAAAGTGAGTCACAGCGCCAGGAATTCCTCCGACAATCTGCCGCCTCCCAAGCTGCGAAATCAAGGGCAGCGAATCAGGCTAAGCTGCGAGACCATATCACGCAAGACTGGGCAAAGTCAGAGGAATTTGAAGATGACGAGACAGTGAGTAGTACTGAGACAGAACCGGAAGTCTTCGAATGTGTTGTGTGCCGCAAAAACTTCAAGAGTTTGAATCAGTTTGAGGCACACGAGCGAAGCAAAAAGCACGTCAGAGCTATTAAGCAGCTTCAAAAAGAAATGAGGAATGAAAACAAGCAGCTGGGACTAGCCGGAGATTCATCAGAGTATGAAGCTCAGGCTGCTATGACATTTGTCCCGGATGATCAAGCTATGCGTGTATCGAATGCCGACAGCACACCATGCAGATCCACGTCAGGCAACACACTCGGCATTGATGATAATGAAGGTGACATACCAGCACCAAACAATGCCGGTGAGAGCCAGGGTCAACGCGTATCTCACGAAAGCCTACGGGGATATATCGACCAAAACTCAGAAAGTGAAATTGACTATGCATCAAGAGAGGTTGTCGAGGGTCGACTCCAACTGACCAGTGATTCAACGCAGGATACGACAGATGCGGCTGCTAGTCTGTCTTCAGATTTTACGCATCTAGAACTTGACCCCTCCAAGCCAGCCGTTCAGAAACTGGGCAAGGCTAAACAAAAGCGCTTAAAAAAAGCGGAACAGGCAAAAGGACAGTCCCTAGGCACGCAGTGTACAACATGCAGCGCTTCCTTTCCTTCACGGACCCAACTTTTTTCACACCTAAAAGAGTCTGATCACGCACAGGTGAAAGGGGTCACTCGGCATAGAAAGAAAAGGGTTTAGAAATTTTACTTTGATAACTTGGAGATTCGCGCCTTCCAAGAGCTTATATATCAAGACCTGGCACTAATCGTGGCCTTATATCATATACATATTTCATTATCAGAGATACAATACCACTATATCGGATACTATGTTTACAAGTATTTCTCTAACAAACCAGTTGACCTCCAATCATAGCATGTAGGTTGAGGAAGACAGAAAAATGGAGAGGAAAGGAAGCTGAGAGTACCAAGTTGCTCTGACTATCGCTCGCACATGCTACTTATCCTAACCCAGCCCTCGAGTTCTTCACAATATGTGCAACAGGTTGAAGAATACCTTTGTTATTCATAGAACCAAGAGGAGTGCCAATGCTCCATCCCATTTTCTCAAGCATAGCCCTGCCCTTATTCTCGGCACCGATTTCAGGTGCCGATCCTCCGACGACATCACCATCCATGTAGGAAACAGTTGCGTCGGTTCGCCCGCGGCGCGACTTGCTAGGCTTGCTCGGCTTCGAGTCGCGGGATTTGAGCCCGCGTTGCCCACGCCCATTTGATAATATACGTTCCATTTGAGATATTGTTTTGGATGAATATGCAGGAGTCCGTGAGGTCTTGTTTACGATGGGAAACCTCGAAGACCCCTTGCCTCGAGATTGCGATTTCATAGACAAGACATTGGCCAGCTCGTGGACCAGTTTGCGGTGTTGCTTCGACATGGGAGGCAAAGCCAAGCTGCAAAGAAAAAGCGTCAGATATCATATACCAGAAGCAGTCTGATTCACTGAGGGAACATATGTACCTATTCCTTGGTGAGAGGAGGAAATGTCGAATTTCGCTTCTCAGGTCCTCGGTGCCTATTCCATTGGAATATTTGTCTTTCAAGGACGGGTTTTGGCGGCCCCGGCCTAATAGGCCCTGGGAGCGCAGCTCTTCGCGTTTTTGCTTTCTAGCCTTTTTCTTTGCCCTGTCGTTTTGCCAGGCATTTATCAACTCGGACTCAAGTTCACTGTCTGATAGACTAATGTCCAAGGACCGGCCCTTTCCTTTAGACTTCTTTTTCACACTTGGTCGGTTGAAGTCCATAATATCGAATCCATAGTAGGGATCAAATTCCAATGCATCAGCAAAAGCCGTCGCAGACGCAAAGAAGCTGTTACCGTCCGCGTGCAGGTCCTGCTTGAATTCAGTAATGATATTTCGGGATGGTTCAATTTTCGGGGGGTGGATGTCTAGCAGAAGTGGAATGGTTAGGTCTCTTACCTCAGATTTGTCTTCTTCTATGTCCTCTGTGTCCGAACCGTCTGACGAAGAGGTCGAGGCGCTATCCGTATGAGAAATTCGGTTAACGGATACCTCTTGACTGATTTCTTCGTCCAAATGATTGCAGTGACCTTTGCCCAGTTAGTAACGCCCACAGGCGTGACGACCAAGAGATTTGAGTATTTCCACTTACACTCGGAAACCTCATTTTCGCCGCACTCTTGCTCATCGCTCAGTGTCGGGTTATGGCGTTGAGCGGAAGCCTCGCTTTGCTGCAGTTTCTTCTCAGCTGCGGAGTTCAGGCCCGTAGCGGACGTTGATATCACCTTGTCGGCATTGTCTGGCTCTTGAGCTTCAACAGAGTGCGGAGAGTTGCCCAGTATCCCCGGTATCAAGTACTCGGTGTCAATATTATCTATGTAGTCGGCGAGTATGTCATCATCGTCTCTTTTCCATTTTTTGCGCCGCCGCTTATCGCTGGTAAGCGAGAAGTAATTTGGGCTATCGTCCATTTCTTGTGGGCATGTTTCTGTCTGTGGAGGCTTGGGAGCGGGCAATGATTTGGGCTCAGAATTTGAGGAAAGAAAATCCAATTTGCTGTGCTCGGATGCTCTTGGTTGCTGACTACCGGCAATAACTTTCTGCGTACGGATATCCGACGGGCGTGATCTGCCTTCCCCATATTGGTGTCTCCTGCCACGAAACACAACCTCATCTTCACTCGAATCGTCTTGAGACTTCTTGGAGAGATGTTTCATTGAATCTGATATCGCTGTGGATTCGAATTCGTCAAGTAACTCAACACAGAGGGGCGAGTCCTCGGTATCCGGCTTGCGTTCTGACAGAGACGTAGCCGTTGCTTGATCACAATTCTGGGTCTTCCGTGTTTCCAGACTCTCTTCGTGTGCGCTTATCTCGATTGTGCTTGGGGAGGGTTGCGTTTCACTCTCCCGGTCAATGTCCTGAGCGCTCACAAAACGGACTGTTTGGTGGCGTAGTGAGGAACCAGTCCGCCATAGGCTGCGTCCTTCAGTGTTGCGCGCTTCTTGCTGCATTGTCAAATGATTTTTGCCGAGGTCTTCAAAGAGTCAGTAATGTGACTGTAACGTGAAGTAGTGACAACTATAATACAGTACCTAGAAGATCATCTGCCACTGATTTCTGCTTCTTGTTCCGAACTTTTGCCTTGGATCGTGTCATCTTCCAGGCCTTTTCTTTCCGCTTGGCTTACTGCCTTTTCCCTTTGGCCTTATTCTGGGATATGATTGTAATCCTTTTGTCGGGTTGGGAGACAGAAAGGTGTTTCGTCAACCTGATGAGGATAAGTGACTGAAGATGGTACCTTTACTGTTTCGAAGCTTAATCTAGTCCCTCGCTCTTGGCAGTGTTATCTGCGATCTCATATCTTCACTTATGTAATGATGGCAGGCGGCGAAGGTGCCCGGTGGGGTACACAGGCGGGCTTTATCATTGAGGGTCTGGGTGGCCTTGATTCACTTGTGAGACAGTAAGGCCTAGTATCTTTCCCACATACGATGTCAAGACTGGTCAGGGTTACTATCCTTTTCGATTTTTACTGAGTCTTTGGTGTGAATATGTAAGGGCCTATGATAGATAGCCTTCTCTAAGCTTTTTCAGCTGTAGTAGCAACTCCCGCCCTAGCTGGCCCCGTGACTACAACTAAATGCATAGATACTGTATGACCCCTCCTGGTCACACTAAGCTCCCTTTTGTGGTTAACTGTTCTTCTTTGGCCGCTACCAACCTTGTGATCTGCCGCGCTGGTAACTGTCATTATATTACTTTTGGAGAGTGCGTTGCACTATTGATGTCTCTCCCTCAGAGCCCCGCCGTCTAGGTTTCCCGTCTCCAACGGGCCGAGGATAATATATAGTGCAGACCTGTCTAGTGACGTACTGCAACACCAACCCCTACCGTCTCTGTCTGTGCGACCAGGGAAGCGCAACCTAGAGTATCGGAACGATAGCAGACATGAACACAGTCGACATAGGACGGTGCAGCAAACGCATCGTACAGTATCTCTGGGACCCAGAGCCCAGGAATGATGAAGATCCTACTTCCTCGATATGGTGCCTAGGAATAGAGTATCACCCCAAGAAGGATGTCAGCCCAAGGGGGGAGACACGTAAGCCCAAGCAAAACATAATCACTCGTGTCTTGTTAAAAGACGCAGTTGTTCCAAATCATACTGATACCGGTGCCAGCGGACAAGAACAGCGCCCGAGATAACACGACGGGAACGACCAACTATCGGAAACCATCAGAACATGCGTGGCCCGAGTCGTTCCTGTTGGATTTTGAATCAAGAATCTGGATGACGTATAGGTCCAATTTTCCCCCGATACCCAGAGTCGAGGGAGACGACAAAAGTGCATCAATGACACTGGGGGTACGCCTAAGAAGCCAATTAGTAGATACGCAAGGATTTACATCCGATACTGGCTGGGGCTGTATGATACGATCCGGTCAGAGCCTGCTGGCAAATGCACTATCTACGTTGGTCCTAGGACGTGGTACTATCATTTACACGCGTGACCTGAATGTACTGCTAACATCCGACCAGACTGGCGCCGTGGAGCGAGGTTCGAGGAAGAGTCACAGCTACTGTCTCTTTTCGCCGACACACCAACTGCCCCCTTCTCTGTACATCGGTTCGTCAAGCATGGCGCCGAATCGTGTGGGAAGTTCCCAGGGGAATGGTTCGGGCCCTCCGCAACGGCCAAGTGCATAGAGTATGTTCCGCATTGCATCTAGCAACTAATATAAAGAAGTAAACTGAACAACGAAACAGAGCACTTTCGTCACAGTGTGGAAGTCCTACACTTAAAGTCTATGTCTCTAATGATACATCGGAAGTTTACCAGGACAGGTTCATGAATGTCGCCCGAAACTCTTCCGGTGTCTTTCAGCCTACCCTGATACTGCTGGGAACAAGGCTCGGCATTGACCATATCACTCCAGTCTATTGGGATGGCCTAAAAGCCACATTGCAGCTCCCTCAATCAGTCGGAATTGCAGGGTATATTGCCCACCCGTGAGCTATTTCTCTTCATCAAAGCTGACGTCATCACTAGGGGACGCCCGTCGGCGTCACACTACTTTGTTGGAGCCCAAGGGTCACATCTATTCTATCTAGATCCACATTATACCCGCCCTGCGCTTCCAGATCGCCAAGGAGGCGAACTATACTCAAAAGAGGAGGTTGATACTTATCATACACGGCGCTTGAGAAGAATTCACGTGCGGGACATGGATCCGAGCATGCTTATAGGCTTCCTCATCCGAGACCAGGAAGATTGGGACGACTGGTTAAACCGCATACAAGCCGTCAAGGGGCGGCCGATCATCCATGTACTCAAGCAGATGAATCCTGACCACGATCAGGAAGCAGAAGCACTTGACCAGGTCGAAGCGCTGGATGATATCGAATAGCTCTTGCTGTCAATACATTTAGATGGATCAACCTTAGTACCCAGCCTAGCAACGATGCACCACTGCGTTCTAATCTTATAGACATGCAACTAGGCAATTTGATATTCGAATTCTGTTGAGGAAGGTAAACCCGCGCAACCAACCCCACATCCGAGTTATGTTACACCGCATTCACGTCACAAAAAAAAAGCAACCATAAACATTTGGCCCAAGGGGAAAAAAGAAATAAAGCCATCCCATGACACATTAGAATCCCGCAAACACCCTGTAACCCACCACCTCAAAACCGTAACAGATGACGAGGTAGCAAAAGAACAATCCTGCAGAAAGAAAACAAAGAAAGGAAAATGCTTATTTGGCAGACGACGAGTACTTCGTGACAGCCTTGGTGCCTTCGGACACCGCGTGCTTCGCCAATTCACCGGGAAGGATGAGCCTCACACTAGGAGATATTAGTTATTTACTACCATTTTGGTCTGCAAAGCACTTACGAGGTCTGGATCTCCCGTGAAGAGATGGTGGACTTCTTGTTGTAAGCAGCGAGTTTCGAGGCTTCGGTCGCGACACGCTCAAAGATATCTAGAACGCGTTAGATATTTGCTGAAATAAAGACTGCGGTTCGTTTTACAACATACCATTGACGAAAGAGTTCAGGATGGACATAGCGCGAGTCGAGATACCGGTATCAGGGTGGACCTGCTTCAAGACTACGAACCAAAGTCAATAATTATCATCTAAAACTAGATGCCTTAAAACCACTTACCCTTGTAGATGTAAGAGGAGTAGGTCTCCTTCCTGGTCTTTCCACGCTTCTTCTTGTCGCCGGAGGCAGCGGCAGCAGTCTTCTTGCCGGCTTCCTTCTTCTCAGCGGGAGCCTTGCCGCCAGCCGGGGCCTTGCCACCGGTGCTGGGCTTCTTCTCAGCGGCTTTGGGAGGCATATTGAAAGATTTGAGATTAGGTATGAAAGATGAAGAGTTGTGATCAGAGTATAAGGTACGGTGGTTGCGTTGGCGTCGACAGAGGATAGAGTGAAGATGAGGATAAGAATGAGGGAGACGCGGTGACGAGGGAGGCGCGCTACTTATACTAGCTCGCAAATACTCAGTTGATCCTGAGTCCGCAAAAGAAGCAGAATTTCAATACGGTCACACTTGTGTATGATCTGTATGATTAGATGAGGGAGAACGCGTCGTCCACTATGGGGAGTTGACTAAGATCACGCTAATATAACCGTATCGAAACTAGAATGTTTAATTACCACGCTTAACTGTATTGGGGGCGACCACGCGCGGAATCATACCAAAGACTCTTTGCCAAGCTATGGGTGCGCCGGAGCATGATCTCATTTGTGATTGGCTGACCCCGCTAAGCGAGAGGGTGATCTGAAAGGCTCCCGAGTAGTCCAACGTCACCCTGATCGCGTTGTTATATATGTCCTCCGCTCCCTCGCGTTGGCCGTCAACCCTTTAGCACCGTATCCCGCTTATCGCCATCGTCACTTGTTAACTACGACTTCTTAATTAACACCTTCACAAAAACTCATATTCCACCTATCAAAATGACTGGAGGCAAATCTGGAGGCAAGGCCAGCGGCAGCAAGAACGCCCAATCGTATGCCACCCGCTCATCTCGCGTTTTCTTTGTGAGATATTAAACTGACACGAAATCGCAGCCGCTCGTCTAAGGCCGGTCTCGCCTTCCCCGTTGGTCGTGTCCACCGTCTGCTCCGCAAGGGCAACTACGCCCAGCGTGTTGGTGCCGGTAAGTGATACTCATTTTATCTTAAAAAACTGCCTTTCAAAGGATAGGTCTAACATCATACAATAGGTGCCCCCGTTTACCTCGCTGCCGTCCTTGAGTATCTCGCCGCCGAAATCCTTGAATTGGCTGGCAACGCTGCTCGCGATAACAAGAAGACCCGTATCATCCCTCGTCACCTTCAGCTCGCCATCCGCAACGATGAGGAACTGAACAAGCTTCTGGGTCACGTCACCATTGCCCAGGGTGGTGTCCTCCCCAACATCCACCAGAGTAAGTTCCAGCCCCACCTGAAAATCCAGCATGTGGTGCTGACCATACACAGACCTTCTGCCCAAGAAGACCCCCAAGAGTGGAAAGGGCCCGGGAAGCCAGGAGCTGTAAACAATTTCTTTCTAATTTGGGTTCTCTGATTCGGCGCGGTTTGGTTCTCTTATTGATGTGATAACGGGGTTCTGGTCGGAACGTTTATGGCTCTGCGTTTTCTTTTTTCTAGTTTCCACAGTTTATGGTTGTACATTATGTCTACGGACATGGAATGATACCGACAGCATTTTCACGGATTTAATTTTCTATCCTAGTCAAGACTCGTGTAAGGAGTGCGCTCGCCTAGTGAAGACCAAATGGTGTCCTTTGAGCTGTTTTCACCTAGAAGTGGCCCAATATTTATGCAATTAAAGGTCCCCCAGGATATATGGATGTAGTACGCAATTTATTCTCATCTATGGACCTAGGAATACAAGATAACTGCGCATAGGAGCTGCAGTCATACTCAGTGTGCCGAGCTGTCCGAAGCAACTAGCAGATATTGCCGCGTCAATATTCGATGCATTCAGTAGGTCATTATTGGTTCACTCACGGGGCAATTGAGGGGCGGGAATGTTTCTCTCGTACTTGCTGCCTATAGAAATGTCAGATCAAGATACCGTTTCATAAAGCACACTCTCGTCAGACTTACCACCCGGGGCCGTAGGTGCGCGGTAAGGGTCAGGGTGTTTCCATGTCTCTAGGAGCTTTTCTGTCTCTTGAAGCAGTACCTGTTCGTTTTACCATCAGTTCTATGAGCACTAGTTGTTCAATGCAATGAAAAGCCACACTTACCTTCTGCTGACGGGGATCGCGAACATCTTTGTTGGCCTCGAAAAGTGAGCGGATATACACAGCTTGTCCTCTCCAGATATGGCGGTGAACGGCCCAATCAAGGGCCAGTTTCAGGGACCGTCGATAAAGTGAACTGGAGAACAAAGTCAGGATATCTTCTATTCGCTCTTCCTTTGGTCAACCTACGCGCCAGCGTTGAGAGGCATCCTGATTCTGCAGCAGTTCCGTTCCGTAGGCCTGAGTTGTTTTAAGACACTTTGCTCTCGGGTCTGCCGTGTTTGTGAATCACGGCTGTCTGGTTGTAGTCTATATTGATTTTTGCACGAAGTTTACAGCTCGTTCAGTTACCTAGCCGTTAATGATCCTATGCGGGTCACGAAAGTACCAAGTTGGTGCTTTTCGACGCCCGCAGTAGCGTAATAATAATACTCCGTTCATTTGCCGGGCGCAGGGAATGCCGCGCTCGTTGAGGGAAATTCCGGTTGTCTCGGCCCGGGCTTGAGCTTGCAGTGCCCTCGACTGACATAAGTTTCGTCACTCTACAGTTCCCGACAGGAAATATCCATACCTTAGGACTAGGACTAGAGCCTAACAACAACAACAACGTCCACTCTTTACGGGGCCTATTTTGTGCTACCACAACTCCCGGCTACAATTCTACAATCTTTTTAATCTGATTATCCAGACGGACCCAAGCCAGTCATTATGGCTTCTCGATTACCGTTTCATCGCCTCTCTGGGCAACACCTGAGGGCTCTTCATCGAAACGCCAGCGTTTCCCGCAGCCTCCACATCGGCCGCGCCAGAAGCTTGATGTCCATTGCTTCCCAGAAAAGCGCCAATGGTCCTCTCAAGTCAAGCGCGGGTCTTCAGCAGGTTACGGCTCTGGGGTCAGTGGTACCAAGTCATGCTTGTTGAATAGCAATCAACGACTAACTGTGGCCATAGACCCAAAATGTCTCGCTTCGGTATCGCTCCCTTCGCGGCTGCTCAGGTGCGAACTTATGGTAATATTCTCCTTCCACTGTCTCGAAACGCTACTTTACTAATGCCTGTTGTTGTTTCCGGTCAGCGGACACTGTTGTCAAGGTTCCACAGATGGCGGAATCGATCACCGAAGGCACATTGAAGCAATTCTCCAAACGTGAGGTCTCAGCGCTCGACGTATCAATGGACTGAGCTAATATTGGCGGCAGAGATCGGTGACTACGTTGAACGGGACGAGGAGATCGCAACCATTGAGACTGACAAGGTAAGCGCTGAGACCAGGCGATGGCCGCTTCCCGCTACAACGGATATGCCCCTGTGAAGTATAAATCAGCGACTCACTTGTGTAGATTGATGTATCCGTTAATGCCCCTGAATCCGGTACCATCAAAGAGTTCCTCGTGGGCGAGGAAGACACCGTCACAGTTGGACAGGACCTTGTCAAGTTGGAGCTTGGAGGTGCCCCTGAAACCAAGAAGGAAGACGCAAATGAAAAGCCGGCCGCGCCAGCTGCTGCTGACAAGCCCACGGCTTCCGAACCTGAGAAACCGAAGGCACCCGAAGCACCCCAGTCTTCATCCGAGAAAGCCACACCTTCGGAGCCCAGTCCCTCAAAGAAAACAGAGCCGGTAGCTACAAAGCCTCAGGCCTCCGAACCTGCCAAGCCCAGCGTTGGGGGTCGCGAAGAGAGGAGGGTATGTACCCGGCCGATTGGCTGCATCAACCTTCTTTTTTCCTCCACTAACATTGGATCTTCCTACTTTTTCGATAGGTTAAAATGAATAGGATGAGATTGAGAATCGCAGAACGTCTGAAGCAGTCCCAGAACACGGCAGCTTCTCTCACCACATTCAACGAAGTTGATATGTCCTCTCTCATGGAGTTCCGCAAGCTGTACAAGGACGACGTATTGAAGAAGACTGGTGTCAAACTCGGATTCATGAGTGCCTTCTCTCGCGCCTGTGTTCTTGCCATGAAAGACGTTCCCGCTGTTAATGCCTCCATCGAGGGTCCCAATGGTGGAGACACCATCGTTTATCGTGATTACGTGGATATCAGCGTGGCCGTTGCTACTGAGAAAGGACTCGTGACACCAGTGGTCCGCAATGCGGAGACCATGGACCTCGTTGGCATTGAGAAAGCCATCGCGGATCTTGGCAAGAAGGTTGGAGATTATCTGGAAGCTGGCTTGAACGAAAATTGGCTAACGTGCTTTCTGCTAGGCTCGTGATAATAAGTTGACTATCGAGGACATGGCCGGGGGCTCTTTCACCATCAGCAATGTGAGTGCTTGCTTATTGTCTACCAGGTGTTCGCTTAGTTATTAACAGTACGCTTAGGGCGGGGTTTTTGGCTCTCTGATGGGAACTCCCATTATCAACCTCCCACAGACAGGTAGGTCTGAATCTTGGTGTGTCGCTTGGATGTACATCTAATTTTTTTTCAAGCTGTTCTCGGACTCCACGCAATCAAGGACAAGCCGGTGGCTGTGAACGGTAAAGTTGAAATTCGCCCTGTATGTCCCCACACTTCTGCATGAAAACATAGAAAGGGAGGAAATGCCGTAGTGGTCGCTAATACTTTGAACAGATGATGTATCTTGCCCTGACTTACGATCACCGACTCTTGGATGGTCGTGAGGCTGTAACTTTCTTGGTTAAGGTTAATAATTCTTCTTAGACTTTTTCTTTTTCAGATTATGTGCTAACTCTAGCTTATCGCAGGTCAAGGAATACATCGAAGACCCCCGTCGGATGCTGCTGGGCTAGACTTCTCACGCTGATTGAACTAGCCTGTTGGGTTTTGGAGGTCTTGGACACATACCAACCATTCCCTTTTGCCTCTTATTTTTGCACTTACGCTCTCGAATTGTAGATTAACAGTCCTATACGGAGATGTAACCAAGCGTATCAGCTTACAATACAAACTTCATTAAGCTTCATTGCTGCCTATGGTTGTCGTGGAATTCCAACAACTTGGCTCAAATTACGATATACGTACATGCCAAGACGTTCTCTAACATCAAAGCCCTATCCTGTCCTTCAACTGCTGGGTCTCTTCACGGCTCAGTCCTCCAAGTTTTCCTCTCTCGAGTTGAATGAGTATTGGAGGGTCTAGTGTCTTCATGAGGTCGGTCAGGAAACAAAGTACTGAGCGGGTAATAGTATCTCCGCGTGGTGACTTCCGCCCAGGTCCTTCCGACTCGGCTGATGCGAGGTCGATGGATGGTAACAGGGTGCTCAGGTACGCTAGGTTTACCTGCTCTGCATACGGATCCAAGGCTTCGCGCAGGCACGCAGTGACACGTTCAATGCATTCTCTGTACCTGCCTGGCGCCTTAACACCCGCAGTGTGGTACTCGTTCAGTGCAGCTTGGGTTATTAAATTCGCAGCAATATCAGCGTGTCCATCTGGTAAATTGTCTCTCGCAGTGCCGCAAAGGGTGACAAATCGGACTAGCGCGTTGTAGGATCTATCAAAGGCGACAACCCGGGTATCATGGGCGGGTAGTTTGTCACTTTCATGTGGCTGGTATGGTTGGGGGTTGCTTCTTCCAGATCGTGTAAACGGACTCCTGCGCTGGTCTTCCTGCAACAATTCAGTAGCAAGTTCTCTGCTTGGCTCTGTTTTTCCATTGCCATCACTGAACAATTGTGCGAGCTCTAGTATCTGGGTTTTTATCTGAATGTCTTTGGGAAGGGTGTTCAATGGTAAGAGTGCAGTCTTGATGGCTGTTGGGTTAAACGTCAGTACCTATGTACTATCGGGCGCATCGAATGTCCATACTGTTGATCGTATCGAGACTCCAGCTGGTGTCATCTTCAAATTTACCATTCCCGGAGTCCAGGACTTGGTGGATGGCCATGCACAGGAGGTAATCCAGTATCATGAGATCTACCTCAGCCTGTGTATCCGGATCTGCTGTGGGCGATTCCATGGTGGGGTGATGCAATCAACTAGCCATCCAGCCATTCTGCTGGTCGTCTGATCGCACTGTGGGCTTCTAAATCCCGTCACAATCCATGGGCCGGTCTAGTCGAGTATGCTTTGTCCTGTGAATTTTCGGGGATGTGATAGCTGGTTACCGGCCCGGGCCCTTGTTGGTTGATCAGTCAATTAAGTAGGTCACTTTGAGTGGTCAGTTGGTTAACTGGCGGAGTACTAAGTAGTAATCAGTTACTCCTAGTAACTAACTAGTTATTGGTTGGCTGGTTGATTGGGTTAGTACTGTGGTTTAGTTAGTTAAACCTGGTTGATATGCTTGATTATTAATCGTTATGAAGCCAGTGCGGCTAGTGCTTAGTGTCTACAAGTTACCCGGCTCTTGCGTGGTTAGGTTGTTTGCTTGTCGAGACCGATGGTACAGAGTATTTTGTCTATGTGATTTGAGCTTGCTACTCCTTGAAAGGCTATGGATTCAGATATCTTGACTAGACTTATTTTACTTATTTTCGCGTGTAATCGGTGTACAAGATGTATTACATGGACTCCGAGCATGGGTGTAGTACTCGATACCCGAGTTTATATATAATCATATGTATAGACATACATCTGAACCATGAAACGGCGGTACACCGACCAGTGAACAAATACCGTCACATATAAGGGCCCATCCTCTAAATACTCTACCGCATGATACAATATACCATACCTGCCTGCCTATCCCGTACAAAGCAACCGATAATACATTAGCTCCTCGGCGTGCCCCTTCTTCCCAGACACCGAAGGGGTTCAACCCCGGGTACATACACGTGACCGGAGGCGGTTTAGCATGGCGTCATAGCTACCTAAGGCCTACGACCATCATGTGAACGGCTCCCGTGAAAAGCAGCGTACCTGCAGCTTAACACTTGCTTGCCTAGTGATCTCATCTACAGGCCAGGTCCGATATTGGCATCTGCGACGGGCACTGCCTGCTGTCTAGGACTATAGTAAAAGAAATCAGTTGCGCGCTACATGCCAAACAAGACACCCATAAGAGTATCCTCATTACTAAAGAAGCTCCCGCAAAGGTCTCTATCAATGGCGTGGTATTGCTCCGGCTCCACGAATAGCGAGCTCATCGCGAATCTGTTCAAGACGGGTCTGATAAAAGATGAAAGAGTGAAGAATGCCATGCTAGGCGTGAGTAGTAGCTCCTATCCCTGAACTTCACACACAGTCAAAACACCGCGGCCAGTGCTTACCCCTGCTTGACACAATCGCCGGACCCCAAACGGAGGGAAAGGTTGACCCCCTTCTCCCCGCCCCATTCTTCCACGCCTAGCCACATGCCTGCCTCTTTAAGGGCACTGGACGATCTGACAACACTCCTGCTTTCTGGGTGAAATAGCGTTTCTAACCAAAGTGCAAGGTTGATCGCGCCCATTATGCGCCCTCAAGGCCATACTCCGATTCACCGCAGCCCATCGGGCATGGAGCTACCATATCTGCTCCACACATGCATGGACATGCCTGTGAATACCTCATCGACTATCTGAAGCCAGGCTCGCGTGTGCTAGACATCGGATCTGGCTCGGGTTACCTCACCCACGTGCTTGCAAACCTCGTCGTGAGTCCTTCGTCCACGAGCGAAGCCGATGGCCAGGTTATAGGTGTAGACCACATTCCGGAGTTGGTGGAACTGGCACAGACAAACATGCGCAAATCAAAAGAGGGGAGTAGCTTTCTTGACTCTGGAAGGGTGAAATTCATTACTGCCGATGGTCGCCTGGGCTGGAAAGAAGGCGCACCGTACGACGCCATCCATGTTGGCGCGGCCGCGCATCACCTTCACCCCGTACTCATCGAGCAGCTCCGCGCACCAGGGCGAATGTTCATACCCGTCGATGCGGAGGATGATGAGGATAGCTTTGGGCTGGGGGGAGGACAGTATATCTGGGTAGTTGACAAAAGAGAGGATGGTTCCGTCCACAAAGAAAAGGTGTTCCAGGTTAGCTACGTTCCCCTAACCGACCGCCCGGGAAGATGAGCAAGGATGAAACGAACGTAGAGAAGAGCACAAGGCCCATCCGTATCGAAACAAAATCAACCAGGTCCAGTCTACTCGAATGCAAGACATCAGAATGTTTATGAATACACTTCTTGAGACACAGTATTGCCTTGTATTAGAAGACCAGGGCATGGCTATGGCCCAAAATGATTGCCAGTCCCGAAACAGACTGGAACAGAAACAAAAGGTGCATAACTTAAGTACAGTATATTCCTCCAGCAGTTGGAAGTTCGGACCCCGACATTAGCGGAAAGGAAACCCGCCGGGAAAGTTGAAGCCCTGACCCGAAAACTTGAACTGCTGACCGCCGCCCTGCTGGAAGAAAAATTGTCCGCCTGGCCCAAACGGACTCCCCTGAAATGGCCGGCCCCTTTGTGACTCGGGGTCATTGGGGTCATCGCCGCTGTCGTACCGGGATCGCAATTCAGGATCTGATAGTACCTCGTAAGCTTCATTGATTGAGGCCATCTTCTTCTCAGCCTCCTCCTTGGTAACACCCTGGGAAATGGCCTTATCAGGGTGATGCTGTTTCGTAAGCTGCCGATAAGCACGCTTGATGGTCCTCTCGTCCGCATCACGGCCCACACCCAAGACCTTGTAGTAGTCTTTCTGCTTGGAGCGTTTCTGTAGAACTTGGGCCTTCTGCAACAGGGTCTGAACTTCCCTCGAACTGGAATGATGTTCCTTGGCTTGATTTAGCAACCGTATAGCATCATCAAATCGATCCTCGTCAATAGCTTGCTGACTCTCGAGGAGCAGCGCTGGTAAAGAATTAGGATCGAAAGTTAAAGCCTCAGAGCAGTAGGAACTAGCCCGTTTGGGCATTTGCGCCTAGAAGTGATGCGAGATTTAGTCATTTACCGCGAAAAGGGTGATGTTCAGCAGGGGTTAGGTGTCCCACAAACCTCTCGGAAAACGTCGCAGGTTCGTTCGACGAGTGAGGCATAAAGGCTGCTCGGGGCTTTCGGGTGGATATTACCCTCCTCCTTCGCCTGTGCAGCATCCTTCCGCACGTCATCAAGAAGACCGCCTTCACTACCGACTCCTACCAGTATATTGATGGCGTTATTGTGTTTTCGCGCATTCAGAGCGTCCTCCAGTTTCTGCAACTGTTTTACGAGCTGCCTTTCCCTTCTGTAAAGGCGATTGCACGGTTTGGAATCGGGGTCAGAATGCAGACATTTGCGCATTTGGGCGATACCGCGGTCTGTGTCTCCCAAGGCATAGAAAAGTGTAGATGATATCTGTAGATAGGGCTCCAAGGAGCTCGGGTGAATTTGTAGCACGTGAAGAAGATCGCTGATTCCCTGTTCTGTTTCACCAGTCTCAAAGCGACAATGTGCCCGAGCCCGCCGCAGGCTCAAAGACATGGTTGCCTTGGACAAAGCTACACTCGCCTGGCTTACACAGACATCCCAGGCTCCGCGACTTTCCGCTTCCAGCGCGGCAGACGCAGCATCACGCGAATGGCGGAGTTCTTGATACTCTGGTGTGGATCCCTTACCAGCCTTATCAAGATCATCCAACGCACCTGCCCAGTCAGCAGAGCTGGCTCTCAGCCGTGCCCGTTGTAGAAGAGCGCTTTCGAAGTCTGGCTTCAGTTGGAGAACCCGGTCGAAGTCCTCAAGAGCCAGTGAGCTTTTACCAAGGGACAGATGGGTAGCACCTCTCTGAAAGATTGTAAGATAATTTGTGGGATCTCTGGACACAGCTGCATCAAAATACATCAAGGCCTCGCGGGGGGAACCACCCGCAAGGTGAGTTTTCGCAGAAGCGATCAAAGATGATAATGGGGTGTCAGAGGGAATCTGGGAAGACTGCAGGCCATGGCCAGCGGAAAGAAAGGCCAGAAAGACCGTAAGAGATGTCAGAGGCAAGTGCATGTTCGTCTAGTCCGTGAGACACCTGGAATGGGACCTTGACGATGGAAGCAGGATTAAGTTATGGCGCAAGTATCATAGATAAGTCAGGACGTATGGTCAGTATGAAATGGATGACAGAGGTTTGAAGGTAAAAAGAGCGTGAGGGACCCTGAAAAGGTCAGAAAGCACTTTCACATATTATCAATGCCAACAGCAGCGGGCAGGACAGACACTATATCATCCTTCGTCGAAGGGGAAGGAAAAAGGAAGCTTGATCCATGACCATCTTCTTCCAGTCTGGCCTTTACGACACCATTACATACGGTAATATTACCACCCGTTAGATTTCCGTATGGAGCTGTTAATTCCGTATCCGTACTTGCCATATCACAACCTCCGCATGCCCCAAATCTCGAGCTAGCCAAAATTCCAGCAGCTGGTTTTCTCGTGTCGGGACCAACGAGCATGGTTTATTCAGTCACAGCTCGATAGAACATGTTCAACGCGCCCTGGATATGCGCTCGATGTTTCGTGCGGTCTGCTGCTAGGATTGGCTCCAATCCCCGTCCATTTCTACAACGGCGCGGCCTAAAAACTGGTCTGCTATACCTTAATATCTATGTCTGTTTCATTGTCTAGCAATAAACTAATATGGTCCGATGTAGATTCCGCTGGCATTTCACAAGCCCTCTTAGCACGCGCTCGTTCTCTAACCAATGAACATTCCACACTCTCCGCTCATTTGGCCGAGGTTTTCGATGCGAAACTCGCCAAAAGAGTGGGTGAACTTGCGCCAATCGCAAGTACCTTAAAAGAGTGGGAACACGCAAATAGTGTATGTTTTTCTCCAATGTGTTTAGGACTGAGCTTTATTGACAAATTGCAGTCTATATCTGAACTTTTGTCACTGCTTAATGACCCGGAAACCGATGCTGAGCTGAGGTCGCTTGCAGTTGAAGATCTGGAGAGCAGCAAGGTCGCGCTGCCTGCCATAGCGGATAATCTGAAGAAGGCCCTTATACCTCGCCACCCTTTCGCAGACCTCCCATGTTTGCTCGAAATACGCCCCGGCGCAGGTGGTGACGAGGCTGGTCTTTTTGCTTTTGAGGTTTTGAGGATGTATATCGCCTTCTGTTCACGTCGTGGTTTCAGGTATAGCCTCATAAAACAGGATGTTGCAGACGGCCCTGCGCAAGACCGATTGAGTGAAGCGGTCCTGGAAGTTGACGCGGATGGGGCCTATGACATTCTGAGAACGGAGTCGGGAGTTCATAGAGTACAGAGGGTTCCCGCCACCGAGGCGAAGGGCCGCACACATACCAGTGCCGTTAGTGTGATGATACTTCCTAGTTTTCCAGACTCCGGGAGCGGCCTGGATAGTTCACTCAATTTCGAGGACCCAAACAGCGACTACTATGTGGATCCTCAAGAGGTTCGCACAGAGAAGATGCGAGCCGGTGGCGCAGGCGGTCAGCACGTCAACAAAACCGAGTCAGCTATTCGGTTAACCCATATACCAACGGGTACCGTTGTCTCCATGCAAGATTCACGTTCCCAACATGCCAATCGAAAGAAGGCTTGGCAGGTTTTACGGGCGAGAATAGCTGAAGCAAGACGAGAAGCCCGAGAACAGGAAATGGTTAACCTAAGGAGAGGAGCAATGGGCGGTGTTGCTCGAATGGGACGCGGTGACAAGATCCGGACTTACAATTACGGTCAGAATCGCTGCACAGACCATCGCAGCGGCCTCACCATACACAACCTGGATAGTGTTCTTGATGGTGGCGAGGGCCTAGAAACCGTAATGGAAAGCGTACGGACATGGCTCGTCGAGCGCGAAATAGAGGCCTTGGCTGTTGAAGAATCAGTCCAAGATAAAGAAGGACTGCGTGCCCAACCGCGTTAGGGTCAAGGTATCGTCACAAAGACAGCTATTCGCTTATAGGCATGATGTAGATACAGTCATATCATATGGCACACTATAAATTCACACGCATCGGGCATTCCGAATAGTAATGGTGTTTCTCACCATGTGTCGCACCTACTGGCCAAAGTGCTCCCCATCAAATGTATCGCCTTTCTGGATCGAGACCATCCAAAGCATCCATGGTTTTCTCGTACCTGTAAGAGGGTTAGTCGCACGCACACTCAGCGAAAGGGTTGTTTTAGCACGAACATCGTAAACACTATGCCTCCGCTCATAATCAATCTCGCTAGCCGTGGGACAGCACCAGACCAGAAGGTGAAGATGCCTTCGTCCTTGAAAATACGCGCAGCGCAGACAAAACTGTTCTTGTAGTTCTTGCTGGCTTCCAGCGATTGCATCCTGCTGTTGTGTCAGAGTGCGGCTACATTAAAGTGATGCACCCCCGGCCTGCCAGATACATACCTTGTCTTGACAGTATCAAGAGGTTGCGTAACATAGCTATCACACAAGAGTGTTAGTATAATGATCGTAAGCAATACCCGAGGGGTAGGTAGGCGTACACAGTGATGAGGCCTGCAATGCCTCCCAGAGCGAAAGTGCTCGCGGTTCCCAACTTCTCACCTGGAGCGACATAACCCTGGGCCAATTGCTTCAGCATTGTGTAGCTCGAAAACCTAACAGCTGAGTTGGCAGCCTGTCGTGCAGTCGTAGGGACGAAGCCTTGAAAGAAACCGCGAACTCCCCGCTCCTGAAAGATCACTTTACTGCCATGTAAGAATCCACGCATGCGAGGATTTTGTGATTTGCGATCATCGATCCTGCAGTATTCATTGACATCAGACACAGTTAGTTCTATTCGTACAATCCGCAGCAGAAGCTAAGGCCCAGTACGATGGTACGATGAGGGTCAGAACTTAACGGACAATTGTGTTTTGATGCTCTCAAATGGAGTAACGGCTAGCAATGACTCTGTAAATCCTGCGCCGAAACCTGCGATGACTGTTCTTGGTCCAGAAATCTTGCCGTTTTCATCCTGCAAAAGTGACTTCAACCAATCGAAGGCGACGAACCCTTTTTGAAAATAGATCTCAGCATAAGTGGCTATACCGCTACAAGATCGTTTCGATGAAACAGGATGGACTCACGAATTCCTGCCTTGAGTGAATTCCCTATAATCAAAGTTGTGCACCCAGCGTACCATTGTGCTCCAAATGGCGGCCATGGGAGTTTCTTTGCGTCCGGTAATCTGCGATTGAGTTGAGATCGGGTTTTCGCAACTGAGCGCGCCAGGTGTTAACCGATAATTGAAAGGTCTAGGTCTGAAAAGGTCTTACATTCGGCCGGATAGGTAATTGCTGCCATCGAATTAGCAAGCAGCATCTTGATTTCTAATAAAAGGATGGTTACCAATCTCGATTGCACCGGCAGTAGAGCCTGCGATGATGGACCGCAGGCTGCTGGGCTAATACATGGTTAGGGAGACACGTTGGTGAACGGTTGGGGTACCAAGAGAATTGCAGCAAACCTTAGGCCTCTTATCGTTCTCAGAGGTTGCCATTGCCAGGGTATCTGCTGCAAGACCCGTGTGGAAGTAAGTTAGCCGACTGCTGTGTATTCGCCGGAGGTCGCTCAGCACTAGGAGTCATACTAGGGATACGGGGCTCGGCGAGAGCAACTCCCGCAACCCACCCAGTTACGTGGGGTAGACCTTAGGTAATTAGTGAAATATTAACAGTTAAGCTTAAACTGGGCTCCGTAGTACCGTTCACCACTCTTTCCCATATTGTAACTTGGGGTGTATGTTCACATTTATCGAGATGATTCTGGTCGATTCCCAGGGATTAAAGATTCCATTCCGCTAGGCACTACATAGTTTGTAAGCTCTAAAAACCGAGAGAACGCGGCGGCATCAATCACTCCCTGGGGGTTTTCCCATTTGTTTTTAAATTTTTTTTTTCTTTTTCTTTCTCTCTCTCTTTTATTTTGTGCTTTGCTTCTGCCCTTTTCTTTTCCACTTCTTTTCTTTTTTTGAAGGGGGGGTTTTCCTTTAGGTTTGTCACTCCAATCCGTGATATCCCCACCCGTTTCACCTTGGTGCACAACATCAACGCACAAACTCTCCTGCCTCCCCCCATCCCCTCTCCCAGCTGTTAATCACATTCGCGCCACCGATGCCAGAGACAATATGAAATGCCAGATTGAGTCCCTAGTCGGCGAACACAAAGCAATTCATGTGCCTTCAGACCGAACGAACGTCGAGCCTCTGCCGTACTTCACAAAGACGCCCATCAGCAGGTGATGAAAAATGCCAACTGCGATGTTTATGATAGTGGAAGAACTGCTAGGTGACTGGTCGAGAAGATGCGACGCGTGAGAAAAGGGCCATATCACTCGATCCGACAATGGCCCCTGTATGAAGCCACAAAATAACAACAAACTCCATTAACGCAGTGCGCCGAATGCAAATCGCAGACCACATATCATGCAGATAGTTGTAGTCATGACTGAGCCAAGGTGCAGAGGCATGTCGGGAGTATTTCAACTCGGCGCATCATTCACCCTAAAGATTCGAAGTCGTATAACGCATATGCAATGACGGGATAGCCGTGCGGCTATGGAAATTGATCAGTTAATACCCACCTGTTAGTTAAAAGAGACCTTCAAACGCCAAGAGAAGGAGGTCGAAAATTCAAACCCGGAAACGCCCCGAAACCGTAAATCGAAGCATCTGGTGTGGAGCAGAAGGAATTATGTACATGGAAGGAAGCCAGAAGGCAAATAATGGTGCTCACCGTACCAAGTGCATACCGTCTAATGCAGGTACATAGTGCTTTGGCGCGGCGAATTGAAGAAGAGGGTGGGGTAGGTATAGAATAAGATGGTAGGAAGCGGGGAGTGAGGCGGCCGAAAAGGTACACGGAACGGAGAGAGAAGGGAGAGCATGCGTTATAATACAGTTCTTCAAACGTTATCATAGATCATAGTTGATATGATATCGGGCAAGTGAATGCAGCAACGATGACAGAAAGAATGAATCTGTAGTGCTTGAACAAGCTACCGTAGTCACTTGCAACCTGGCCTCTCCGAACGAAGAAACGACCCGGGAGAGGTTGAAGAGAAAAGAAAAAAAGGGGGTGGGGGGAAAGAGAAAAAAAGCTAACAGAACAATGAACTTGAAATATGATAGAAAGGCAAGGAAACATGCAAGATATGAGTAAAAAGTGGAAAGATAAGAGACAGAGAAGCACATGATCCTATGTCTATGACACTTGCGTTGGGTGGGACTTGCCGCTCGACTGTCCTTGAGTGCCAAACTTGGTTTCGTTCTGCATGTTGCGACGCTGGCCTTGTCCACGACCTCCGCGATAAGAGCCCCGGCCCCTACCATATTGGTACTGCCCACCATTCATATGGTGGTTGTGACGACGCTCACCAATGTTTGCATTCGCAGCTTGGGCAGTAATCTGGGGCTGGGATGGATTGGCAATAGGGCGTGGGATTGTGTCCGGTGAGTCATAGACATAAAGCTTCTTGTCGATGTTTTGTGGAATTGGCTGGATCTCAGTTCCAAGTTCCTGCTCAATCTTATATAGATTGAACCGGTCTTCCCAATTGATAAGGTTGATAGCAAGACCAAGATGCCCAAAGCGGCCAGATCGACCAATTCGGTGCAGATAAGTCTCGGCGTTCTTCGGAAAATCAAAATTTATGACAACATTGACGGCTTGAATGTCAATACCTCGAGTTAGCAAATCCGAGCAAACAAGGTTCCGGCAAACACCATTCCTGAAGTCGTGGAACACCCGATTGCGATGCTGCTGAAGCATTCTGGCATGGGAGTAGAAGCAAGAATAACCCAGTTCCGTTATCTTCTTAGCGAGCAACTCGACACGGTTGGTAGAATTGCAGAAGATAATGGATTGATTGATTTGTAATTTGGAGAAAAGTGTGTTCAAGCAGTGAACCTTCTGCTTTTCCTCAACAAAGGCATAATACTGCGTGATTCCACGGAGAGTGAGCTCGTCCATGAGATTGATTTCGTACGGATTGCGCATGTGTTTGTCCTAAGAATATAAGCATCCATGTGGTTGATGTCTCCATGCACGGAGCATACCTTAAATGACTTCACAATAAGCGGGAAGGTGGCGCTGAAAAGCATTACTTGGCGGTCTTTAGGATGGAATGATAGTAGTTGCTCGATGACGGGAGTAAATTCAGGTGACAGCAACTTATCAGCCTCGTCCATAACAAATGTAGGACACTCGGAGAGGTCAGCAACCCCTTTGCTGGCCAGGTCCAGGACTCTCCCTGGGGTCCCAACGAGGATATGAACTGCGTCGTTCAGCCGAATAATGTCATCCATCAAGCCGGTACCTCCTGTGGTTACCATAACATTGATACCGAGGTGCTTTCCCAAAGTTTTGCAGACATGTGACGTTTGGAGCGCCAGCTCTCTTGTAGGAACAAGGATAAGGGCTTGTGTCTTGGTGCTTTTAGGATTGATGCGCTCCAAGGTAGGAATAACGAAAGCTGCTGTTTTTCCGGTGCCATTCTTGGCTCGCGCCAAGATATCCCTGCCTGTAAGAGCGACTGGTATCGTCTCTTCCTGAATTGGAGAAGGCTTTTCGAAACCAGCTTCGAATATACCCATCATCAGTTCGCGTTTGATGTAGAAGTCTTCGAACTCCAAGCCTTTCGTAGCAGTCACATCCTAAGCCGCATTAGATTGCGAACAACATCCATACCCATTGTTCATGATCCAGACTAACCTCGGTTTGTGGTCTTGCATCTTTGGCAGGGACATTCAATTGCTCCTTCCACTTCGCGTCTGAGCTCGCATCCCTTCGAAGTGTTCAAGTTAGCCTCATCATATGGATAAACCAGCGTGCGACAGTGAATGTACCCTAAAGTAGTGTTATTCAGCTGAGAGGCTAAGGCGTCGGTCATGGTGATCAGGTGTAGAAAGAGGTAATATTGGAATTCAGGTGGGGTAGGTTGCTTGTTCTTCCTCCAAACGATATGTTGCGGAACACTCAAATACGATGCGACAGACAGTGATGATTACTAGCTCGATCCAAGCCTGAAATACATTAGCCTGTGTGATCTCACGAGGGAAATGATATGAATAAAAGTACTTAATGTTCGGGAATCCTATCTTCGAGAGGACGGGAAGTCGGGTGGACAACACAAGGTGGTGAGGTGAATGAGTTGGCCGGATGCAAAGATTGTGCTTCCGTTCCCAATATAATGAGGCCGCTCGGAGCCGAATGAGGACGAAAAGAGCTATGCTAGGGGTAAAAGGGACAAGGGTGTATATGAGGGGCCTCTGATGATTGAATCGCCAACTGGAAACTTGACAGCGACTTGATGTGAAGTGCGGCGTGCCTGTGTGCGGGCCGTTTGGTTGGACGTCAGGAACGAAACTCGGGAAGACAGAACTGGGTGGGTGCCACGGATGTGGGCTGCGATTCGAACAATTCGGACGTATGGGTAGCCGATCCTAAGATTAGGTGTTGGATTGGTTTTGAGGAATTTTGTTTGACGGATTTGACTCGCACTGAGTGAAAGGCGAATGGCTTATCGTAGAGAGTGAAGTGGAAAGAGGATGGAAAACTTCAATGTGGTGGTGGGAGTGGTGAATAATACGCATCATACACGTAAATACGGAACACCAGCTTCCGCAGCACGGGTCATGTGGCAGTCTTACTTAAGGTACCTAGGCACATACGTAGGCGGTAACCACTAGTTACTCCACACCGCAAAGACCGACTCTACAAACATTGGGCTGCTCTTACAACGCCAGGTTCAATACATTGAAATCTTGAGTTCTTATCTAGGCTAGCAACTGCTTAGATATTTCATTTACACCTTTGCCAAGGCTCCAGGCTTGACATATTGCCCAAACCCCGGCTTTTCAAAGATTCTGCTAGTGAGACACGGATTTTGATTTTCTCCCACTGCGGAAGACGATCTTATCCCTCCATATAGTGTCTCAAGTATAGCAGATGCGGTAGTATACCGTGCCCAGGCCATAATTTTCCCGGTCTTATCCTATGGCCCACAAGAAGAACGAGGGGAACTGGATACTGCATGAAAGGACTCTAGAATGTAGATGAAAGCCGTTGATGCATAAAGAGGATATGCAGTGAGCTTGAAGGAAACGGACCAAAGCGCCCCGTACGCCCCCCAAAAAAGGGGACAGAGAATGGATAGTCTGGGTGAAAATAGAGTAGGAAATGAAGTCCAGTGATGCAACAGCCACTGAAAATTACCGTGAAAACGTTAGTCTTGTCTGACCCCTCTCGGGCTCCGCCAACCTATAGGGAACATGTTAGCTGCAGCTCAAGCAATCTCGTTCACAGACGTACTCCTTTACACAGACGTCAGGCGCCAAAGTAATTTCTGATCTTGATCCGGGGGTAATAAGAATGAATTGCCGTCCTATCGACCGTCTGGCAGCTAGCATCTTATAGACCCGTTAGCACGTACAGATTGAGCGTGATAAGTCCGACATACAAGCATATCGATAGCCATCTTCCTGTTAATGTGATCCATATACACATCGCTAGAAAATTCGTGTCAGCTACAGGGCTTGTTGAAGGTTCTGGATAACTTACAATTCATCTAAGCAACGAATTGGAGACCCCATAGCCTCC